CCTGCTGAGATGCGTAACAATGCTCATTACTTCGTTATCGGTGCCGGGTGCGCATCTACAATGCCAACCGCGCAAAGTTCCAGATGAAGATTGGTCAAGGTGAGAGCAAAAAGGAGAGAAAGAGATATAAAGCATATTATAATATATAACACACACACACACACACACACATTCTTTCTCTAAATAAAAATAATATATATTTATGTCTTATTTTCTTTAGTGCTGCATATGTCGAGTTGTATAATAAAATAGCAATGGCTTATGTTATTTGGCGAGGTGCTGGTATGTCTATTCAAGGTGTCAGAACTTGTGGAGATTATATGTTTAGTGGGCATACAGTAGCATTAACTATGCTTAATTTTTTCATCACGGAATGTAAGTAATAATATTTATTATTCTACTTTTTTCTACTTATGTCTCTTTATCATTCTACCTTTTCATTAAAAAAGCTATGATTTATAATTATTTATACATTCTGACAAGTTTTGTTTTCTTCATTACAGATACCCCGAGAAACTTGTATTTTCTGCATATTTTCACATGGATGCTCAATATGTTTGGTATTTTCTTTATCTTGGCGGCGCATGAACATTACTCCATTGACGTTTTCGTAGCGTTTTATATAACTTCCCGATTGTTCCTTTATTATCATACTCTGGCGAATAATCAAGCATTGATGCAGCGTGACTCGAATAGAACCAGAATCTGGTTTCCGTTATTTAGTTTTTTTGAAGCGTCCGTTGATGGTATTGTTCCTAATGAATACGAATCACCGTCCTTGATAGTTTGCAATTTGGTGGGCACAGGAAAGAACATTTGGCAATGCATACGGTCTTGGATTTATCTCCGAAAAACGCAATGCAACATAAACGGCAACTTAAGCAGCACAAAGAAAGAACGCTAATGTCGAACCAGTTCTTTTTTTTCTCTTTTTTGTTATTTCTATGTGTATTGTATTTTTAAGATAAATATGCAATGCGGAAGACCCTTCATTGATTTCTCTTGCTCGATTGTGATTATATATATATATATAAAAACGTGATAGATATATGAAAAATAGATATATGAATTCAAAAAAAGTGATTCTATGCTATATATTTATCTTTTAATAATATTGACTATTTATTTGACAAATCCGTTTATACGCTAAAGTAATATTGAGCGAGATGTAATATTGATTCTAAATATTTATTTTTGCGATATGGTTATATACATTACGATACCGAAAGAGATTAAAATAATATTTAATATAGTTAATTATATATAATATGGTTAAAACTTCTATTAACATAGAAGTTATGCATATAATAATTTATTTATTAAGAAGAGAGCCTCCAAAGACAGATCATAGTGTATAAAATATTATGCTAAGGTTCAAAATATTATGCTAAGGTTTAGCATGCGTTTTCCAAGCATGTTGTATCATCTATAAGACTTTCTTATTTTTTTATAATTGTATATATACCATTGTCCATATAACATTGCTCATATGTGAATACTTTTGTTTCCTTTTTTTATAATACAGAAAGAAAGTTGTATCAAGGAACGATTGCACATTGTGATAAACTTACAAAAACCCCACATTTTATCAAGAATGTTTAATGAATTTTGACAGCAAGACCAAGTTAATAATAACAGTAGTTTAAAATCCTATATTGGACATACCTTTAAAAATGATTTTTTTTCTATTGTATAACATTTACATGAGAAAGTGTATGTTATAATATTATGCATTCCTGATACCTGATAGAATTGATAACTTAAGACACATTAGAAGATAGATGTGGTGGTATTACTAAGCAGAGGCTGAAAATATAATAACATGACTCTCCTAATGTAAAAATATATCTGTACAATACTTTAGTTATACAAATAGTTTCTATGTAATTGTATATAGAAACTACTACAAAATATATTAGCTTTTTAATATTTCATCCATATCTATTTTTTACTTATATGTTGTAACGATACCGTTACTAACGGCCTCGCGGGCCGATCCGCCACGCGCATTATGAATTATGAGGCTCGGCGCCTATGGCGCCCCTAAGTTCCCACACCCGTGTCGCGGCCCCACCGTGGGGATCGCCCCACCACGCGCCGAATCGCGCGAGTAGGAGATCGGCTGATGCCAGCTGGTGCGCTCCGCCGGATATACACAGTACATTCAAAAAGTTCGGGAACTGGTTTTTTTCTGGACGTACTAATTGCGCTATCTCTTGGCCTACACTGGGTCTAGTTGCTATTATGTCTCTTGAGTTTTGCCATATTTTTTTTGCCGCCATTAAATCAATAGCTTAAAGTTTGCGTGCGTTTGAAATTTTAAAAACTTTTTACCGTTGTCACGATTTTCAAAATGGAATCTTGATTAAGTTTTGTTTTAAATATGGAAAAACTGCAACAAAAACATATTAAATGATGCAAGATGCATTTGAAAAAGATTGTCTAGCACGTAGTAAAGTGTTCAGGTTCAGGTTCAGTCGCCCAGTCCTTCTCAGGATAAGACGCACAGGCAGTGCTAGGAAGTTGGAAGTTGGAACCACCAAACGACCACGGGACACCCCGTAGTAACTAAGGGCCGTGGCACATAAAAAAGGGAATTGCCCATTTCGTTACTCCCCGTCTAAACATCACTAAAAACAGTATACTCTCCTACTCCTACAGCCTTGTTACTGCCATTGTAGACGGGCCTTAAGATTACGTACGAGTTTAAGTTTAGAATCAGTACTTTCGGGGCCTCTGGTGGCTCAGGGAGTAGCGCGCCTGACTCACATCCCAGAGAACTCGGGTTCGATTCCCGACTCCGACCCTGGCCTGCGCTTTCCTATTTTTCCTTTCCTACCACCTCCCTAACACAAATTCCTTCCTTCCCCCAAGAGGAACCTACATATATACGACATTATTCTATCTTTAAAACCAGTTTATGGCCGTATAGCGAATATTCGCTGGAGCCAATCCCAAAACCCAAGCAAGCAAGAATCAGTCAGTACTTAAGGATCGGCAGGAGTGACGGCCAAACTCCGAATTGATATTGGAGACCTCGCGCGGTGACAATGCGAAACTCCGACTTCAGAATTACCAATCTGAGAAATAAATTCTCGATCTCTATGTAGAGGTGTATGTCTATATACGTACTCACACGATTGAATTGCTCGCGTGGACGCACCGTGGAGAGGAAAGATAGAAAAGGATCAACGATCACGTTATTCTTGTTCCTCTAGCGTATCGCTTTATAGCCGAGATACGGCCTGAAAATGCTTTTTGGCCTCTCGTGGCAAAAAACAGTAATGCAACTAGGCTAACAAGCGCCCACTTTTTGTAAATTTTATATTTGTTTATGCACATTTATGCGTATATATGTATCAATTATATCTAAAAATTATATATATGATTAAAAATTATATGACGATAAATAATAACAATAAAATAATAACTCACAGAGTGAACTAATATACAATATGTAAAACACGGGCATTTATTAGACTTGGCAATTTATTGCTTTTTTACTTGTTGCTTTTTCATAGATACTTTATGTGTTGTTTTCAAAAAAATAGCTCTGTACAGGACTGCGGATGATCCTACTGATTACAAATATCACAGGTTTAACATGATTCTCTTTATTTTTTGGCCGTAATACGGGAGAAGCGAATTCGTAAATCATGGCTTCCCGCGAGAGGTCTCTACTGTCTCTCCTGCCGACCCTTAAGCAGTAAGATTTAAGACTTAAGAATTTCAACCTTAGAACATATATAAATGAAAGGGAAATGCCTTTGTTTCCCGATAGAAAAACATGTCGGAACCCATACAGCACAGATCATTGTACGATCAAGTATGAGGAGAATACTCGACTGTGATTAGTCAATTTCTTAAGGCTTAGAGCTTAAATCACTATTGTAGACCGGCACTTACATGACAGCATTAAGCGTCGAGCGTCTGCGCAGAAAAATGCGCAGAATTTAAAAGAGATAGATTCTAGGCTGAAATTAAATTCTGCGCAATTTTCTACGCAAACGCTCGACGCTTAACGCTGCCATGTAAAGGTACCTTAACGCGGAACAAAAAGGGAATCAATCGCGAACGTTCCGCAGTCTTTGTTACGTTCACGATTGGTTCTCGTTCCGCTGTTACGTCTCGACGATGCTCTTTTCTTACTATACCTCAGTTAGTGAGAAAAGGATAGCTCTCTATTTTTATAGGGCAACCTGCTTCCACCTTCCACCGACTATACCCCAGGGACGCCGAGAGCTAGGACTGATCTGCTGGATTCTAGGGGAATGACGTTAGGCACGGAACTAACTTTTTACTAGAGTGATTTTACTGGATGTTAGTCCTAAGAATATGAGCATGCGCAATTAGATATATTTAATTTTGAGGGTCTTCAGGGTTTTCAAGCAAGGCAATTAGTTGATCTATATTCAAATTGCCGTCTAGAAAATCGGTAATAAGTCTAGCGATTAAAGTTAAGATTTGCTCGCGCATGCGACTTACTATGGCTTGAACTTGCTCGTCAGTACCCATACAGCACCGAAAGATTGCAGAAACGTTGCATAGACCTTGCATTGAAACATTGTAATATTGCATAGAAGTTGCGAAATGTTTCTGCAATGTTACTGCAAGCCTGCGGCAATGTTGAAATATCCGCCCTTAGAAATATTACAATGTAAGATTACAGTAATGTTACGGTGCAATTTGATAGATAAACTTTGATAATATATCGAACAGAATCTGCAGCTTATTACAAAGTATTATAAAATAGTTCAGTCGCTTATCGCTATGCGGCGCGTTATTCATTATCTATACCCGTATTCAGATTCTTGTCATGAGTGTATATAAAGTTTACAAAATGCTAATAATATTATAATATATATTTTTCTATCAGTTCAATTTTTGACACAATTCTTATACAGGAAATTCAGATATTGAACTGATTTTTGGCAAATCGGACAGATAATTGTTCGATTTTCACTTATTCGAACAATTTATGTCCAAAAAGATCTTTAATTTTATAAACTAAATTATTTAAATTTACCTATATGTTTTAACACATTAATATATGATTTTATATAATGTCTGATTATCTAATGGTCATTTATGACCAAAACTTATCATCATTTTGTTACTTAGGGTTGAGACTTTAAATCCATTTAAATATACTATTTTATATATGAATGGCCAAAAGCTGCAGAATTTGTTCAGTTTTTGCTGACAATCTGCTGTCATATTGTCTTGCGCAGATCTTGCTCGATTTTTGCCACCAATTTGACGTCAAATCATGTCAAGCTTTGCTCGGTTTTTGCCATCAATTTACTGTCAAATTATGTCAGCAAGCTTTGTCACCAAAACACAAGCTTAATGCGGACACAGATGGCACTGGATTTGTTACCAAGTTTTGAGCGAATTTGATGCCAATTTGGCAACAATTTGTTATCAAATTGCTTACTGGGAACATTCTCATGAAATATTACAATTATATGTTCCAATAATGTCTCAACAATATTACATTGCAACTTGCAAGATTGTAACATTGCTGCAATGTAATTGCAATGTTCTGTGCTGTAATATATAAAGGTTTCATTATCCGAAAATTAATTGAACATCTTGCATTGCTGATTAATTATGAATCTAAATATCTAGCGTATTCATCTATTTTTAAGTGTTCTTCAGGCAATTGGTCTTTTAACTGAGAAATCAAGTCCGGGGAAGTTGTTTGATTTTCGTCGCGACATGGAGACAAAGAGACCTTTTCACAAGATATTACTCGAGATTTATTTTTACTATGAAATCGGTTAAGCCGAGACAATTCGGAGGAAAAGCGTGCGGCACGCGTTTTTACATCGGCTCTATGATTCCGTTTTTTTCTGAGAGCAAGCCAACATTTCGAGTTAACCATTTGTAAGGGGCGTGTTAATTATTTGAGGTGAATCTTAGATTAATGTAACATAATATATCATGTTAATTATAGTATAGTGAGAGTTAGAGAAATAATATTTTAAGAGGGGGAATATTAAATTAATAGTGGCAAAAAAGAATAATAATGGAGTTGAGCGCGTTGATTGAGGGATTTTATCGGTTACGGATAAAAGTCCTTTATTAACATCAATACTAGATCCTGTACGTTTCATACGATTCTGAATTTTAATTCAAAGGGAAGGTCTAAGGTGTAGAAAAGGGGTCGGTCTAGGGCATATTTCGATGCTCGATAGACGGTGAATGTCTAGGGCACGGTATGTGCTCAGTAGACGAAGGATGTCTAGGGCACGGTATGTGCTCAGTAGACAAAGGATGTCTAGGGCACGGTATGTGCTCAGTAGACGAAGGATGTCTAGGGCACGGTATGTGCTCAGTAGACGAAGGAAATTTCGGAAAAGGGGTAAAGTGTCACCGGGGAGGGATGAACTCACAGCAACTGGGGTCCAAAGGTTGGACCACAGCCGTACAAACTCTAAACAAAATCTAAATTCGTCTGGTATTGATAATAATAATAATAGGAATAATAGGAATGTTTCAAGTGATTGCAGGAGGATAAATTGTGGATTATTAAAGTTGTCT